GGCTCCGCGAGCACCTGCGCGTGCACAGCGGGGAGCGCCCCTTCCGCTGCGCCGACTGCGGCAAGAGCTTCCGCCTCAAGGCCATCCTGAAGGCGCACCAGCGCACGCACAGCCGCGAGCGGCCCTTCCCCTGCGCCCAGTGCGGCAAGGGCTTCCAGCGGCCGTCCAAGCTGGCCGAGCACCTGCGCGTGCACAGCGGCGAGAAGCCCTTCCAGTGCCCCGACTGCGCCCGCGCCTTCCGCCTCAAGGGCCAGCTGCTCAGCCACCGGCGCCTGCACACGGGCGAGCGGCCCTTCCAGTGCCCCGACTGCGACAAGCGCTACCGCGTCAAGGCCGACATGAAGGCGCACCAGCTGCTGCACCGCGGCCAGATGCCCTTCTCCTGCCAGTGCGGCAAAGGCTTCGCCAAGCAGTCCAAGCTCGCGGAGCACGTGCGCACGCACACGGGCGAGAAGCCCTTCCGCTGCGCCGAGTGCGGCAAGAGCTTCCGCCTCAAGGCGCAGCTGCTCAGCCACCGCGGCCTGCACACGGGCGAGCGGCCCTTCCGCTGCCCCGAGTGCGGCAAGAGCTTCCGCGAGCGTGGCCACGTGCTGCGGCACCAGCGCATCCACAGGGCCGAGCGGCCGTTCGCCTGCGGCGACTGCGGCAAGGGCTTCATCTACAAGTCCAAGCTGGCCGAGCACGTCAGGGTGCACGCGAAACCCTGCCGCGCCCCGAACGAGGCCGAGGTCAAGAGGCTGAGGCTCCGCCAGCTGTTTGCCATGATCGAGGCCGACTGGAGCTGAGGCCCGGGCCGACACGCAGAGCAGCGCCGGCCCTCGGCCGCCGGTAGATTTTGGGAAGCGGGGCCTTGCTTTGAGCAGGGCTGTGAGGAAACAAAGGGGTTTCTCTCTCTCTCTCTCTTTAAAAATATTTTATTTATTTATGCATACAAGAACTAGGGGACAGGCCAGAGGTGCGGGCGATGAAGGATTCACCACAGAGTGAGGAGCAGAGCAGGCGGATTGACTGACATCACTGCTGAGGGGAGCAGCGGGGAGACAGGAGGCGCCTGCTGCGCCAGGTGGGTCACCCCCTGGCCGGGGATCGCACTCGCGCTGCAGATCTAAAGCATCAGGGCTGTATTCCTGTTGGCCTTTAATCAGCGGATTAAAGGATTTTTGTTTTTCCTGCCAATTAAGACCTAATTTGCTGGCTCTGAGTGCCGGGCTTGGGTTAAGACAAAGAGCCTCTTGTGCTGTTCTCAGTGCTGCAGGACGGGACACTTCTTAAATATCTCACTTTAAACCTTTGGGCTTAAATCCAGTGAATTTTGTGAAAAGCCTGAAAGGATGCTGAGTTTGGTTTTCAATCACCTGCTTTGAGACGGGTAGCAATAAAACGAGCTCTCCACACCGTCATTTGTCCGTTTCTGGGGGTGCCCAACTGTCAGGCAGGCCCTCCAGTGATATGTTCCGGAGAAACAGCTGATGCAGGCAACTTAAAACTAGAGGCGCAGAGAGAGTGAGAGCGGAAGTGTGGACATGGAAGTTCTAGAACAGAGGCTGTTTGCAGCTGGGAGCCTGGATGAGATGCCAAGAGTGGCGTCGCAGCAGGTGACACAGGGAGAAAAGACAAAGCAGAACAGCCTCTTCGGGCGCATCACAGGCAGCAACCGTGTGGGCGTTTTCAAGCAAAAGCTAGCGTGAACACGGACAAGGGGCAAGCGGAGTCACTGCGGTTGCAGCAGAAGTCGGTGTGAGCAGAGTGCCTGAGAGGCGTACCCCACACAGAGAAACCCGCTTTGGCACGACGCACATCTCGTGGTAGAGTGGCTGGCCGGGGCTTCTGAGGCATGACGGAGTGGGACTGGAAACTGCAGGGCCATTGCTCTGACCCGGTACTTCACAGGTTTCTTTCTAGAACACTAGCTCCAAAGATACTCTACAAAGAAGAAGAGAATGATGTGACGTGGCCAGTTAGTCTAAATCCAGCAGAGCCTGCCCCCTGCCGCAGAATTCATGATTCACCAAAGGAAGATGCAATGTGGAATATTTTCTGCATGTGTTTGACCTTGGAATTCCTTTTTTCTTGCTTCTCCCTCTCCTCTCTAATTGCCCAGAGCTGATCTTGTGCACATAGAGCTCCTCAGAGCTTTCGAAAACATGACCGAAGAAACATACCTCGGCAAGGCAGCCCTCGGTCTAGTAAGAAAATGAGAATCCCAGGGGGAAGGGCAAAGAAGTCAGACTAAAGCTCGCATTGGCTTGTGAGCTCCTTCTCCACCAAACGGACAAGCGACATCTGAATGTAATTGAGAGATTCTACCACTGGGCCAGCTCATAATCGGGCATGTGCTGATGTGTCTGACCACGGAGTGCATGGTGGAGGCCCCGCCACAGGCGACTCTCGGAGCAGGAGGAGGTGGGGACCAAGAAGAGGTTAGGAGGGAGCCCAAAAGCCAGGCCTCGAGTTTGTTCTCACGTACTGCTGCTGTAGAATCTCAGGCAGTGAGCCGTGCAGAGTGACTTTGGTTAGGCACTAGGAGTTTTTGAAGGAAGATGAGAAAAAGGGTAGGATCCAAACAGATCCAAGTACACTGCTTAGGTTGCTCACACTAAAAATGGAAATACCAGAGGGAGGGACTTCTGGGGTAGAGAGTGACTTGGTGGTGTCCCTCAGCCTGGTGGCCAGTGGGTGTGGGAGCGCCCCCCATCAGTAGCGACCCTCAGACCCCAGCAGGCTGCCCAGGAATGAGCTGTTTTCTGATGTCATATACCCAGCAACGGCGTCAGTCTCCAGGTTAAGGCTTCCGTCTCCCCGGGCCCCCTCCGCTTCAGACACTTGCTGCAAGACCCTGCTTCTGACCAGCCCTCTATAGACCTGAGGTCGCCACCAGCCCCTCTTAACACTGGGTATCTATCTTGAGCGCCAGACTGTTATGTGTGCTTCTGATTAATGCGCTAGAAATCAGGTTCCCAGGATAGCTGAGTTTTGAAGAATTTGCTAGTGCAACACACACATCAGGGAAGCCATTGCTCGCTAGATCATGCTTTATTACCAAGAATACTAATGTATATGAATCCACAGCCAGATGGAAGAGAAGCATTGGGCTAGTGAGGGGAAGGTGCGGAGCTCCCATGCCCTCTCCAGGTGTGCCATTCTCCTCAAGCCGTCCAAGTTCACCAAGCCAGAAACTACTGCAGCCAGCCCCTTGAACTTCAGGCTTATTTCATAGGTGTGGCAGGTTAAATCACTGGCCCTCCCTCCCAAGGAAACAGGGAGTCCACCCTTTTCATGTTAGTTGCATCTGGAATTTTCCCAAAGCTACCTGCTGTAATGTAATGAAACATCTTTAACAGGCAACAGGAAATTCCCCAGAGAGCTATGAACAAGCATTGGTGAATGAAGAATAAATATGGGTGAGTAATTTCTATTTTGACAATTCAGATGACCAAAATGCCTATTTCTCCTCAGTCCCAATACCACAGGAGGTATCACAAGCATGGATTATAAAACTTTCTCTCCTCTCCTGCCCCAAAATACCTCACAAGAAAAATCAGTGCTAAGATACCCTGCTGAAATCCCTAAATGCTAAGAATAAGAAGGAATGCCTGACATCAAAATAAATAAAAACCCTGTCAAAGAAGAATAGTGCCTCCGACTGACCCCACAAGGAGGGTCACATTAGAAGAACAGAATGTTTAATAATCCCATTAAAGTCAAGAAGACAATGGTCTCTGCTGAGCCATTTAATGTCACATTATTGTAGACCTGGAACATCTATGAGAATTAGCCATATAACTACTATACTACAAGGATGAAAAATGATAGGGCAGGTAGGCATGTCCCTTGCAAGGAAAACAAAAAGGAGACTAACAAACCAGCTAGTATTTGGAGAAAAACTAAACATTGTTGCTCTAGAGTAACTCACAAGACCACCCCCATACACAAAGATCCTAGTTCCACTATAGGTGTGGTTTGTGTTCTTAAATATGGACATACAAGGATCGGCTGACAGTGAAGAAAATCTTTGAAAATCATGAAAGAGAAAGACCAAGTCAAACAAGAAAAACTATTCCAGACAGGTTATCGACCGTTCGGGAGATAAAACCTTAAAAATTTTAAGAATATTTAAGAATGGAGACGACGCCTATTATAAATGAGAAAAGAAGCTTTTGGAACAAAAAAAAATTGCAGGAGTTAAAGCGATTACTGAAGAAAAAAAAAAAAAAAAAGGCTCAGAGTAGGATTTAAAAATCTCCCAGGAAAAAAGATCCAAAAAGCCCAACAGGTAGAAAATATGGAAGAAAACATATCGCGGAAAAACTAGTCTTTGCCCTTTGTGTTTCGGTCCTTTCATTTCCTACATTGCAAAAAGCACATCTATAAATGCATTTATTGACACGTGCATTTCTGATGTTAACCTGGGGGGAGGGGAGAGCTGACCTCAGAAAATGGTTTGCTTGACCCAGAAAACTACACAATCCTGCAAATCGAGAGGTTCCAATAGTGGTGTTCATCTGAAGAACACCCATGAACTGCCCGGGTCCTCAAGAGTCTGCAAGTCCGGAAAGACACCAGGTGTGTGGAGGACCGCACTGGTCCTTGCGGTGTGGAGGTGTCCGGTGGGAGCAGCAGAAGCCGAAGCTGGAAAAGGCAACGTGACGTGTGCCCCCTGCCTGGCTTCGATGCCAACATTATCGAGCCAACTCGCTGAATCCCAGGAAGAGGAGGGTCCGCGCGGTGGATACCGCAGAATTCCTTCCAGTCCCCGCAGTCTGGAGCGGGAGATCTGGCCAGAGCCTGGACGCTTAGCGCGGCGAGACCGAGGAGGAGGCGCCGACCCCCGCGGCCAGCAGGCGGCGCTGTGGGAGCTGGGGCCGCCCGGCGTGCTGCCATGGCAACGGCCGCC